AGACTACAGATGCCTCTTGGTGGGGATGCAGCATGACAGGGGCCTCATTTTTGTTACCAGAACACTCCACCCAGGAATTACAAGGGGACAGCAGGGTGGGGTGAAGCAGGGAGGGGCAGGGCAGGGCAGGGCAGGGCAGGGACAGAGTAGGACAGGGCATAAATGAGAATGGAGAGTTAGACTAGAAATGATGCCAGTATAACCCTAGAGCTTTTGTGGTGTTTGTATTTGTCTTGTACACTGAAATCCTTTTAGGTAAAAAATTCTGAAACACAAATCCTGATATATGAACAAATTCATTGCAGTCCCTGTGAAAAGCTGAAAAATCCTCAATGTTAAATAATAATAATAAAAACATGATGTGTTTATGGTGGAGTATTATATCGTCATTAAACTATTTGCTTAATAAGTGCAGTTTCTCATGCAATTTATGCATCTGTAGTTTCAACTGTAGTAAAGCCACTTGGAGAGTCACTGTAAATAAAGGGCTGGTTCTTTTTTTAAAGATGATATTAAATATATTTGTAAAAGCCCCATAGAGAGCTGGTCATGGTGGCACATGCCTATACTCTAGGAAGCTGAGGCAGGAGAACTGTCATGAGTTGAAGGCCAGCCTGAACCACAAAGTGAAACCTTGTTTCAAAACAAAACAAAAGGCAAAGCAAAACAAAACACCAGCCCCCTAAATGGCACTTTAAATGGGTGAATTACATGGTGTGAGTTAGGCCTCGGTATACCCGTGCCGGCACACAAGCAGGCAGGCGTACACCCCCTTCTCCTGCACCCCTTCCGTGGTTCAGGACACGGCCAGTGCTCCAGACATGATTCCATAAAGTAGATCCTTCTGTAATTGCCAAGAACCTTCCTATTAAGTATCTTCATCCTCCTTCACCCAGAACATAAATCTTTATCAGATTTATTTCTTTGTGTCTTTCAGAATCGTTAGTCAAATGTATGGGTAACTCCCTGATATTTTACAGCGTGAAGCACTTCGGGGTAAATTACTTGGGCTACCTCCATCTGGAAGAGCCAGAAACAAGCGCATTTACAAACCTTTCTTTCCATACACTGCCCTTGCCTTCGAGAGGAGGTAGAGAATTTTGGCTTGGCCCAACTTCAGCCTGGTCTCCTAGCCCATCTTCCCATGCATTTCAGCCTCACCACTGCCACGCCAATGCCTGGGGTCTCCCCATGGGACAGGGGAAGGGCAGCTCAGAAAAAAGCACAATGGCGAATGCTTTCTCCCAGTTTCCTGAACCTACCCGGAGTCTTGTAGACATCAAAGCAGCTGAAAGAGACAGCTGTGGACCCATGAGAAGAGGGACACTTTTTTTTTTTTTTTTTTGGTCTTTTTCTTTATTTTTTTTATCGGTACTGGGGATGGAACTCACAACTGCCTGCTTGCAAGGCAGGCGCTTATGCCGCTGAGCTAAATCCCCAGCCCTGAGAAGAGGGACACTTTTAAGTACATTGTTGTTACCCTTTCTTCTGTTTTGCTTTTTTTTCTCTTCAAATAAAATTGTCTTTAAAAAAGTACTGCTGGGAACCATACTTCTTAAAAAATCATTTTAATGTCAGTTTTGGTTTCTTGAGCTGCTTTTTGATACCGCTCATGTTAAGCCACATAGCTCCCTACTCTGTAAATGTTGTATTCATGACTCATAGCTTACCCACCTCTGTCCTCACCATGGTTCCCATAATCCGCATATGGACCACAGGAGACAGGAGCCAGAAGTGCCATGGGCTGCAGCTTAACAAGACAGGAGGGCAAAGCCTTGATTGTTAGAGACCTTGAATGATAAAACATTAACAGTTTCCTCTGGGTCTTAGGATGTGATAGTGTTTTCCCTGCATTTATCTGTGCTTTTCAAGTTTTGTTTGTACTATGCACACCTATTAAGTAATCTATTAACAAAACTACCCCAGTGCTAGCATTATGCCTGAGTACCCCTAACAGATGAGCTTGGGGTGCAGTTGGTACTGCAGAACTAGACAGCAGAATGTCTTTGCTCAGAGTGTGTTGAGGTTGCTAGTAACATAAGTTGGCTCGTGGGGCTGGCCTCTGTGACCACCATGGTCAATGCTTGAACACCCCCAATTTGAATGTCTGCTGGGGGAGACCTTGTTCTTCCCGGGCTGCACCTCTGCATTTGGGATTTACTCTCAGTGACAGCCTAGAGCCACGAATCGAGGTACAAAGATCACTGCGCAGGAAGGCTACGTTGGGTTCAAATTCCTTCCATTGACTGAAGAGGTCAGTACATTCCTTTCTCATGGTGTAGGAGCAGAAATGGTGAGCCTTTTAGAGACCAAATACCAAACTGCAACTCAAACCCACTTATGTATCACAAAGAACCAATACGACAATTAAGCCTGAATATTGAAGTTTAGAAAGAACAACTCTACATTAACATCTCGTCTTAAAGCCTAGTGACACACATGCCACAGGTTTGCCACCAGTGGGTTAGGGGAACTAGAAATACTTAGACTGAAGAAACCTGAGCACAAGTAGCAACTTCTGCAAAATGGTAGAGGATTGTCATCCAGAAGTCTCCTGGAGGACAGGCAAAGAATGCCATTATGGGTGGCCGCACCAAGGCCAGTTCTACCTCAGTTTAAAAAGCACATGTCAGACAATAGATACTTAGCCCCCGGCTTGGGCTGCCTCCCAAGACAGTGCCACCTGCATGGGAGCCGGATGGCCTCATCTCAGATGCTCAAAAGGCCCTGCAAGTTCTAGGAGAAAGCACACTCTGCTTATCTTCCCCCACTCAACCCGGATCTCTATGGGTCTGCAGTGTAGGGCTTTCTGCATCTGCTTGATTTACTCCCATCAACAGACAATCCCTCAGCCCCAGGCTGGGGAACCACTCCACAACAGATCACTCCATGAACCACTGAGTTCTCAGTTGCAACTCAAAGCGGCACCTCTGCTGCTCAGAAGCTATTTGGTGACTGTGTGTGGCTACGGAGGTGCTGCTGCCCTCTGGTGGAAATGAAGAGTACAGCTGCCTAGGGAAATGCAGATTGAGGTTCTTTCCTGCACTCCTCATCCTAACCTCCTCTCCTGAGCTTCATTTTTTGCTGTGAGTAGGAAAGTCCCGACTCCACCCATTAGGTCATCTTGTTTACATTCACACCACCCTTCTGTCTCCTAAGACCCTGAAATTCTGGTTGCAATACAAACCAGGTCCCGAAAGTCATGGCAATGTGTGGACGCCTTCCCTGCTCCAGGTAACCTTTGGAAGTTAACAGTGTTACAGAAAAGCCTCTGGATGAGGTCTAAAGGCCCAGCCTCCAGCTCATATTTTGCCACACTCTGTGGGATCTTAGACATTATCTTATATTCACTAAAAAGGGAGAAAAAAAAAAAAACAGTTGAAGAAGGGTTGCAAGGTCATTGCTACACGAAATGATATATAAACTTATTAGATTTATAACATGCTCTAAGGGCTTAGAATCCTTTGGGGAAAAGTTGCACTGTTACTTGAAGCTACTTATCACAGCACAGAGCCACATGTCCTCCTCCGGGCCCTCAGGTGACTGCAGGCGGGTGACCCCAGGTCTGTTCACCCAGGCCGCTGTCTCAGAGGCAGCCAGTGCACCGCTTGTCCTTGAAGCAGGAACTGCAGCAGCTGGTCAGGGAGGGATCAGTGATCTCACGTTGCCCATATAGCTGCACAGCTAGCAAGGCTTCTGGGCAGGGTCTGGCCCTCTATCGAGGGCTGGGCTCAGCGAGGAGTGACTGGGCAGGACTGCTCCCTGTTCCTGAGCACTGGACCCCTGCCCTTGCGGCAGCTGAGGACACTGCGTGGCTCACTGGAGCACTAGGCAGGTGTTCAACCCCAAGCTGCAAAAATGGTTTGGAAGAAAACTGTATATTGCTGAGTAGGGAATGTGCCTATTTTAGTTTTAAAAACAGATTTCTTTGTACCTAGGCTTCTTCACAGAAGAGATTTTTTTCCTTTGCTTTGTTAAGTTCTTGTTGTGGTCCCTAAATGATCTTTCCACTTTAGCCTGGGTCCTCTAGTTCTGGACCAGGCTCACTTTTCTTTACTAGGGTCACAGTGAAGACAGCTTCAAAGGCATGTGGTGCTGTATGGACCCGGGCAGCCCCACAGCCCCTACCCACTCCCTCTTATGGGAAAACAACACCTCGCTGAGGCATTTATGACAGGGGTCTGCAGAGCTCTCCTCACCTACATGAAATCTCACACTCTGAAGTAACAGTCAACTGCGAGCAATAAATGCTGAATGGGCTTTTTAGTTACCTTGAACTTTGAAGATCCTTGTCTTTTTTATAGGCCTTTCCATGAGGTGTCATTATTGATGTAAAAAGGTTTCCTTACACAATTTTCACTAAAAAGCAAAAAGCCAGCTAGCAAAACTACTTAGCCTCCTCATCCCAAGTATCAGGTAAGATAATAAGGCAAATCTGTCTCAACAAAGGTGTGTAAATAAAGGCCAACTCTGAGTGCTGCTACAGACCAGGCTGTGCCTGGAGATTTACAAACCGTATCTCCACGCCTTATATTAACCCTAAAAGGCACAGAAGCAGAGCCGCCTTTCATCCTCGACTACGCAGGCCGCACCGTCAGTGGCACAGCTAGACAAGGGGCTGCATCTCCAGAAGGGAGATAGAGAGCATGATGCCCGGCTGTGGCCAGGAGGTGGCTCTTTTGCAGGGGCCACCACTGAAGCATCACCAACTGAGGCTTCAAGACGTCCTGCATATTCTACTTAACCCTCTCCTCCACTCTGGCAGAGGCTCTAGAGGTCCTGAACACGAACGCCAGAATCACCATGGGGACCAGACAACAGCCTGCTGTAAGAAGCTACCCCTGAAAAACTGCACAGGGCAGCTGGCAAGACATGAGGCTGCAAGGTACAGGTCTGGTCCCTGAAGGCAGAGCTTGGTCTGCTCAAAACTGTGAGCGCAAGAGTCACATTCTCCACATGCTTGCTGCTTTTCTGATTAGAAGATACAGAGACACTGTGGGTAACTTACATTTAATTTAATATTTATTTTCATTTTATATCCAGAGGTCACATTTTCTACATTAAAATATAATCATGCTGACAGCCCCGCCCCAACCCCTCAGAGAAAAAAGTGAAGAACTTTACACAACTGGAGAGATGGAATGCACAGAGTAGGGAAGCTGCCACTGCACCTGAGTCACACAAAACACAAGGCGGCAGGACGGTGACTAGGCAGAACTGTGGAGACAGCTCAGGTTCACGCCAGGCAGGGGCGAAACGCTGAAACGCTATCACTTGTGCCACAAGACTGCTCTGAAAAGGCAGAGCTGGGTCAGCAAGCAGAACTGACCGAGGACTTTCCAAAGGGTGCTCTCTGACAGAGTTGAAAATATCCACAGACTCGAGCCCTCTCCTGCTGGCTGTCCTCAGCATCTGGTAAACACTTTGGAAACTTAGAGCAGTGTCAGCGGTCAGCATGCAGAGTGTCACCAGCTTGCTTGCTTCTTGTATCGTACCCCGACTCTTTCCAAGCAGTAACTCTGTCAGAGACTCTTACTCCTCTGCATGAAACCCGCTGAGGGTCACTGTGCATTCCACCGCCACGGCATGAATGGCAGCAGTGAGAGCTGCAGGGGTCTGGGTGGCTCCCCGGGAGAACAACTGGACACCGCAATCCCAGCTCCCAGAGGAGGAGGAAAGGACACCCTTCCTGCTAACTGTTTACTGTACTGGAAAGAGCAGTGGACAGGAAAAAGTCATCTGCCTGGCGCAGAGAGACCCACAGGCACACAGCACCCGGAGAGGACTCACGAGGCGCCTCCTGGCTCTGGTGAAGGGAGGCTCCTTTCAGACGTGCCCCTAAGTTCCTAAAGCATTTTAGCTTCAGAGCGACACCCTCCAGCGGGCTGAGAGGTAAGGTCTGGGAGAACCCAAACAGTTAAGACATTATTAGGCAACTGACTACACCATTATGTACAAATACATACATCTGTAAGGAAACGTCACCTCCACCCGCAGCTACTTTAAACAAAGCACTGAAGATCGGGCTCTCAGAGTAAGGATATTTTGAAGTCTGTTAGCAGTATGGACATTGCAACACTGGCACATATGTTACCTACTCTTTGTTTTTAATTACGGGGTAACACAGTAAACTCCCACACAGAGGTAGGGATGAGGAGTGCAAAAGGAATCAAGAAAACAACCCACGTTTCACAAGAGGGTCACGCCACGGAAGAGCAGCAACTAATGCTTTGTGGAGTCTCGAGGATAAAATTCACTCAGGGTGCTCTGAGGGATTCTCTTCAGCATCTCTTTGGGAAAGATTCGGAGCAGCTGCCACCCAATGTCCAAAGTCTCATAGACACTGCGATTTTCGTAAGGACCTTAAAAAAAAGTGCAATGAATTAATCACAAGGTGCTGCCAGCTTATCAATGGTAAGTCAGTTATTTATCCTGTTACAATCAGAAAGCACTGTGGGCATAAGAAAGGAATCCGGTTAGATTCTCAAGACTAGATGAGACTGCACGTGGAACAGAAGGTACAAAAGAAACACGAAGGGAGAAGCCAGGGGCCACGGCCAAGGGCGGCCCAGTGTGTGTCTGTGCCTGGGAGAGGGGGCCCGCCTGAGCCCCTGCTGTTTACCACTGGGCTGCTTCCTTGGACACAGACTCTGTGTGAGGAAAGCAACCCAGAACACTGGGCTGATCTGAGCGAGACCTGGAGAGATGCTCAGAAAGCCTCCAAAGCCAGTCACACAGATGAGCGTGGGTGAGGCTGGCGGTTTTCAAAGTCGTTACTCTCAACAGCACAATCACCCTCATCACTCAAGTTTCACTCACTCAGTCGTCAACCCAGGAATCAAGAGTGGCTGTAATTCTGGGTTCCTTTCCTGGAGAACTTTACTCCATGTGTGTACTTAAGGCGCTGAGGTTAAAGAATCCCAGTAATCATGTATATTTTGGAGATTTTAACATGAATAAGGTATTAGAAAAGCACATGAGGAGTCAAGTGTGCCTCTTGAGGCATAATTTCAAAGTAATATACTTTTTTTTTTTTCTTAAATTGGTACCGGGGATCGAACTCATGACTGTGCTTCCAAGGCAGGCACTTATGCCGCTGAGCTAAATCCCCAGCCCCTAATATACTTGTTTTAATTATCACTGAGTCATGAACGGGCAAGCAGAAGCCTGGAAACTCACATGCATAATGCATGGGAACCCGCTGTAGGCCTTTTAGTAGAGGGACTACTGATAAATGACTGAAGCGACCCTTGCGTCATGGAAGATGCTAGAGAAGCCGGCACTCCTGGCCAGCAGTGGTGGGGCCCGAGGATTCGGTACACTCCCAGGGCAATGGCTCCGCCACCTCCCAGGCACTGCACCCCAACACACAGACCCCAGCCAGAACCTGCACTGCGGCACGCTTCCTAAGGGGCCCCATAGCTCCTCAGAGTCGGAGAAACTCTAGACTAACACACTGGAGTAGGCGTGGAAACACAGAAGGGCAGTGTATTTTAAAGGACAGCACACAGTAGCAAATATGTCACCACTGGAGAGTAACTGAGAAGGTTAGGAATGATGCACAGTTACTGAGCCAGGTTAACCAGGACAAGATCCTGCCAAATGTAGACAAGGCCCACTGCAGGTCAGCTGGAAAGAACAATTTGGTTCTGGCCCTCCTGCACCCCAGGGGCCAGTGGCACAGTCACAGCAGCATCTGTAAGGCAGGTGGAGACGTGGGAGCTCAGAAGAGGGTAAGGACAACGTGCGTGGCATCTAGAGTCCACAGCAGAATGAAGTCAGTGTTAAGGGGGGAATAACACCAGTAAAAGGTGACTGAGCTTCTTGGAATATTAGCAATTAAGGAGCAGGAAGAGAAGAAATAAGAAAAGGAGATGAAAGCTGAGGAATCAACAAGTCCCCCAAACCAAGGGACATTGTTACAGAAAAGTTCTCAGGAGAGCTGGTCACGGGGGCGGGTGGGCCGGGCAGTACACAGCGGGAGGGGAGCTGGCCTTCAAAGCACAATGAAGCATGCGACAGCAGGAGGGCAGCGAGGGCAGGCACTGCAAGCAAGAATTCTGGGAGGCTGAGGCAGGAGGACTGGAAGCTCCAACCCACCCCAGGCAACCAGTGAGACTCTGTATTAAATAGGGGCTGGAACTATAGTTAAGATCCTCTCAAGATGTTTAGAAGACAGAGCGGAAGAGGCCCCAAGGTTAAGTTAAAGACAAGGCAGGCGGCAAGAAGAGCTTCTCTACTCAGAGAGCAAACTGTAGGGAGACCAATGTACGCCCCTCAGAAGGGAAGGTCTTGGGAGATGGTCTTCTTACCCTGACTAATGAAGTTCCTCTCAAACTTCTGCAGAAACTCCAAGTACAGGAGATCGTCGGAGGTGAGGGCTTCCTCTCCCACCACAGCTTTCATGGCTTGGACATCCTTTCCAATAGCATAGCACGCGTACTGAGGAGAGGAAAGACGTGAAAACAGGTATTTGGGCACAGCCGCACCCGTGCTACTTCTGAGGCAACCTCAGCAGTGTGCCAGCACTGCGCCCACAAAGCTCCCACAGGAAGACTAAAGGGTTTCGCTACAAAGTACTCTCCCTGGGTGAGAAGGCCTCGGGCCACACAAGGCAGACAGCAGCCACACTACAAAAACATTCTTCCTTCACCTGTCAATCAGCTCATATTTATAGCATTGAAAAAGAAAACTCATAAGCCAAGCAGAAATCCACCTCAAAGTTCCACTCCAAAAACACTTGTGCAGCAGTTTACCATTTCTATGGACATACTTTTACGGACAAAAGTGTATTTTCTTTGTGTTGGGTGTATAATCTCATGAATACAGAAACCAAAGACTTTGTAGAATATGTAAAAATATATCCTTCAGTTTTCTAGTGACTTCCTAATATGTTAAACAAGAAACAAGAGTATGCTTTTGAGAATGTTACTACTAAGAATTAAAACAAACTTATGGTTTGCTTTTTTTTTTTTTTTTAAATTAAAAACTAGTCTTAGAGAACTGGCCATGGTTTCCAAGCTTGGTAGTGTTAATGCTGACTATAAGCATCTCTTCTTAGGAGAAAAAGTCTGCTTTGGTTTAAACAAAGCCTAGGTTACAATTCTACTCGAATGGGATGAAGAGTGAAAGCACGGTAGGAGAGGGACAAGGCGGCTTGAGCACAGCAAGCCTCCCTCTGTGCAGCTCGGGAGGGCTCACATACCAGCTGGTTGGACACATCCGCGTGGTCCTTCCTCGTCATGCCTTCTCCAATAGCGGACTTCATTAACCGTGACAGCGAGGGCAGTACGTTAATAGGTGGGTAGATCTGGGGTGGAACAGAAGGGAAAAGTAATTGTAAGTACCAAGGACAAGCCCTACTGGACAAAGAAAAACTGGGAAGTCACTATTACCCTTTAAAGTACATAAATCTAATGCATTTATTTCCTGGATGGTTCTAATATCTTCTGGGATCAAATGGTGGTAAGAAACACTTTACAGCATAGCATTTCTTTTTTGCTTCACAACTGTTTGGATAATAGAAGTGTGCCACCATGCCCAGCAATGTTCCTTGAGAATCAAACCCAAAGAACCAAAATCTGTAATCCTACAAGACCATCTGGAAAAGCTATAAATTTTCAGCATCTGGCTGGTATCAATTCTGAACAGTCTTTTAAACTGACTCAAAAAAAATCATACATGAAACAAAAAGAGTAATCATTCCCCCTAAATGTTGATTTTTGATGTCAGTTTTTATTACAGAATCATCAAAATTCTGCTCCTCTAATAATAGTATGACTGGCGTATCCCATTCACTATGGAACAGAACACCCTAAAATATGTTTTCTGACCAGCTAACTCCCTTTGTAGGGTCTGCTAAGTGGTCAGCCTCAGAGCGGCATCCTAGTGTCCGATACCTGTCTGTTGTGCAGCTGTCTGTCCACGTAGATCTGGCCCTCCGTGATGTACCCAGTCAGGTCAGGGATGGGATGGGTGATGTCTGCCGAGGAGGACACACCATATTAAGGACATGGCCCTCTTGTTATCACGCCCATGCACAGCTGATCAGCACTGCCCGGAAAGCACTCTTCACTAGACACTTTTGTGAAGAGAGATCTGTCTCTGGGCTGTGTAATGTGCCCCTCATTAGACAACATTGGCCACCGAACCCTTGAAATATGGCCAATTAAACTGAAGAGATTAATTCCAAATTCTTTTTAATTTTAATTAACTTGAATTTACGCAGCTAAAAGTGCCTGGTAAATACTGAATGAGCCCATTTAAGCTGTTTAGTTATAGCAGTTCAGATGTGTTAGCACCACAAGGGCATCAGGCCACACTCGTAAGCACTCTCTCCTACTCAGACGATTTCTCATGAAAATATTAAATAAAATTCCACTTTAAACACAAAGCTCTCTCTCTCTCTCTCTTTTTTTTTGTGTGTCTTTTTCCTTTTTATAGGTACCGGGGATTGAACTCACGACTGTCTGCTTGCAAGGCAGGCGCATATGCTGCTGAGCTAAATCCCCAGCCCTCACACAAAGCTGTCTTACAGAAATCTGTCCACTTTGTATTTACTGACAGAACCCTTGGAGGCCACAACTGTCTCCAACGGACATGAGACAGTTCATCATGCAGGATAGGGGGAGGCCAGGTAAGTAAGACAACACTCATCAGGCATCCATCGAAAGGTCACACAAAGCAACACATTTCCGTGACTGTTAGATTACACACAGCAGTTCTGGAGCTGCTCCTTTGAAAGCCGACACTCTCAGGTCAGAGGCCTAGCAGCGCAATGGTTAGTATATACAAGTTCAGGCTGCCTAGGCTGTGAATCCATCACTTCCTGACCTGGACAGGATACTTCACGGTGCAAGACCCCAGCACCTGCTCAAAGTGCCGCGAGGATCAAACGAGTGAACAGCTCTCAGAGCAACGCCCCATGAACTGTCAGACATTACTGGTTTTGAAAGTATCTTATAGAATAGATTTTTAAAAACTGAATTAAGGACAGCAGGGCGACACCCTAGAAAGAGATTTAGGAGAGGACTTCTGAACAGCCATGCCCCAGGCCGTGCTGAGCACACTCTCAGACAGGCCAGACAGGGTGAGTGACAGGAAGAGACTTCTCCCTGCCCCTGGCTGAAGGTTGTCTCTGAAGTCTCATGGCCTGTACTGTATATGCTCTTCACCTGGCACTTTGTGTAAGCTATCTTACACCACTGGGCATGAACAACACTGTCTCCATATTCAACGGAGAACACAGAGCCTGACATTCCTTACATCTAAAACAATGCCCTGCAAAAAGCAGCTACTCATTAATACCTAGTAAGTAAACATTTAAAATTTAAATGACAAGGAAAATTGGTTTTTGTCCACAAAAGGAACAACTTTCAAATGAAAACATTTATATAGGTACAATTAACTAGTTAAAGCAAGATCTGAGAAATTAAGCTTTCAAAGGAATTTAAACTCAAAAAGGTAGGTGGTGACCCTGTTTTACAACCAAAGTCCTTACAATACTGAGCTCTGTTATCATCTAAAGAACAAGACCTTACCATCATTGGGCATGGTGAGAATGGGGATCTGAGTAATGGAGCCGTTGCGGCCCTCCACTCGGCCTGCACGTTCATATATCGTGGCCAAATCCGTGTACATGTAGCCAGGGAAACCTCGTCGACCGGGGACCTCTTCCCTGGCTGCTGAGACCTACGGTGAGTAACGAAGAACATCACATACCAGAAAGACGATGTGAACTTAGTTAGAACACATTTTTCTGAACACGCCAGCTACAAAGTTTAAAATCCCATCCTTTCATTTTAGATACTTTTTCTTTATTTCTTTTTGGGGGGGGGGGTAATTTGGAATTGAACTCATCACCTTGTGCTTGCCAGGCAGGTGTCTGCCACTGAGCTATATCCCTGGCACTAGATAGGATCTCAAAGTGATGGTTTAGAAAAATCCACAAAAAATATAAATTCAAATTTCTCCGTGGCAGAAATCTAACAAGTGAAAACCAACATTTTTCTTTCTGCCATAACATAAATCTTCAAATGGTCTGCTAGAAAAAAACCTCATTGCAATTTTATAAATGAAGAGAAATTAATTCTAAAACTGTGACAATATTCTGTTTGTAAGACTTATTTCAAGCGTGAAACTAGCTGTATTTGTATGAAGCAATGCCAAAACATCAACAGACAGAAAATATGCACCTGAAATAGCTGTTTCCTTTTGTAGTTAATATTTCATGTAATCCTCTAAGCACCCTACAAGAAAGATTGTCATCCCCAATTTACAGCTGCAATTGGGGTCACATATTTATTAGTTTCTCATATCATAGCACCAGGACACTACTCAACAGCACACAGTATGAGCGGTAATAAACGGTTGTCCTGAGAGACACTTGTCCTGGAGTTCAGGCACACATGCTCGCCTGCGATTGCCAGAAATCTAAAGCAGCAGCGGCAAATCTATGACACCAGTCATATTTGTTTTTCTTGTAAGACAAAAGATCTTACTGTATGTATAGCTGGCTTTTCCAAACTAAAAGGTCAGTATTCAGGTTTAGTTGCAGGGTTGGCATTTTGTATAAGTGGGTTGCAGTTTGGGGACTCGTCTCTAAAAGGTCACCATTGCGGACCTAAAGCATCACCAAGAAGGCAGTGTGGTCAACAGACCAGTAGTTACAAGTGTGTAATGAGACAAGACATGCTTATTCTTATCACTTTGCAACCTGAACATTGAAATACAGCCTTAACAACCTTTAAGAACCAGTGTTAAGTCTGTCATTATAGTAGAATCAACATTTTGCCCCTGGGCCCCCAAAGACTGATGCATATCCCTTTATGCTAAAGATTTAGTCCATCTCTAAGAGTTGCCAAAGTCCTATAGTTTCAGTCTTGCTGAAAAGTCCAAGTTCCAAGTCTCAGAGGAGATTTAAGGCAAACTCTCAGTTGTGAGCCACTGTACAAATGAAAAGTTAAAACACGGAAAAATAGAGATATTTTTATTCCAAAAGTTACAAATAGGGAAATACAAAGGATTGGGACCGAAAAAAGTCCAAAATCCATATGGCAAACATTAAATTCCATGTGCACACTTGAGGCAAACTGTGGGCACCAAAGGGCTGGAAAGACTCCACCCCTCTGGCACTTTTGTGATTGTAGCTCCCAAGGCTTCACTCTTGGGCTAGTTTTGCTCCCTCCTTGCAGGTTTCCTTAGATGGCCCCTGGTTTTGGATCTTTCAAACTTCTGGGGTCTCCACTACACATTTGGCTTTATACTCACAGCTTTACATGCTGCCCTCTTGGGCACACTGCCTGGCCTCCCAGGCCTTCTACAATCAGGGTAGAAGTCTTCTTAACGCCATACTGTTGTATTCTGTGTACACCTAAAACCAGCACCACATGGGTGATGTCAAAGTTTGCTGCCAGCTGGAGCAGTAGCTTGGCTTTCCTCTCCCTTGGCTGCAGGGGTTGAGTTCTTGGATTGCTGGGCACTCTGAATCCAATTTTAAGGAATGAATCTTTTATGCTGTTGCTGTTCTGGAACATGACACTCTGCAGCTTTCTCCTCAAAGCATTCTTTCACTTTTCCATGTTTAGACTGCAAAGGGTAGACTTGCCACTTCTTGCAATGTTCACAGGCTATCTTTTAGATTCTTCTGTTCCTTTTCAGCCATCCTCAGTTCTATCTTGGTAGTGTTCGGCTTTACTGGAATTTCCTTTCTTGCCAAACTCACTTTTTTTTTTGTCTTTTTCTTTTTTATTGGTATCAGGGATCGACAAACTCACATTTTAAATCATCCTGCTGAGGGGCTGGGGATTTAGCTCAGCGGTGTAAGCGCCTGCCTTGCAAGCAGGCAGTCGTGAGTTCAATCCCCGGTACCGATAAAAAGGAAAAAGACAAAAAAAAAAAAACAAAAAAATCATCCTGCTGGACTCTTTGTTCTTGATTCTCAATATAAATCTTATTAAAAGCCCCCAAAATCACCATGCCACAGTGTCAACATTTTAACTGCCTTGAAATTTCTTCTGTTAGGTTAATCAGTCCACTGCCCTTAGTCTCAGGCAGTCTCCGGATATGCAGACAAACTTTCTGCCAAGTCATCATAACACACATCATCAGGAGTTCAAAAACCAGTGCAGTCCTTCTTTCCAGCAGAAACCTTGCAAGCCTGGTCTTTACCAGCAGGATTTCTATCAGCCTTCTGGTCTCCTGAACTCTGACCAGAATCTCCTGTACGGACAGCCCAAGGTGTCTCAGCGCTACTCTTTCAGGTGGTATCTCCAAATCTTTTCAAATCCTTCCCACAAGCCATTCCCAAAGGCTCCTGAACCACATGCTTGGGTATAGTCACAGCAAGGACTCTACTCCTGGTACCAAATTTTGCCTTGGTTATTTTTCTCTTGTTGGTGAGACAAAATATGTGACACTCAAAATTAAGGAAGGAAAGATTTATTTAGCTTACAGTTTATTGATGTTTTAGCCATCAGCTGGCTCCAAAGCAGGGTGTCACAGCACAGGGGCAACAGTTTAAGGTAGTGGATGTCAGAAAAAGCAACAGGATAGCTAGGCTTGGTGGCTCACTCCTGTAATCCTAGCACTGGAAGGGCTGAGGTGGGAGGATCATTGCGAGTTTGAGACCAGCCTGGGCTACAAAGTGAGCTCAAGGCCAGCTTGAACTGCAAATCGAGACCCCATCTCAAAAAAGACAAAAAAAAAAAAAAAAAAAAAAAAAGGAAGAAAAAGCCACAGGAGCACAAAAGGAAAGTGAGGAGAGTAAGTCTTTTTTCTTGTCCTACACACTGCAAGCAGGTCACCACCCCCTAGGGCAGGTGTAGTACTCACACCTTCTCCATACCTTCCTCTTGCACAAGATAAGGATGCTTACAAAATGCAGACCCTGGTCCCCTGCTGAGTCACTTAATTAAACTTCTAGACTTCTCAAGGTCACACAATAAATCAACCATTACAGACACTTTCATTGCAACTGAGCAGAATACATTTTTCTGAATCTAATAGTAAGAACAAAAATCAGGGTTTGAAAATGGTATATTTTTCTAAAAATTTTCCCTTTTCTAGTAGCTCATTTTTGTAATATTTTATACAAGTGCTGGTCTATTATGGCTCAGAGACCAGCAGTCCATCATTAGCTGGCCTACAACACTATAAAAGAAGGAGGTAAAGTCATGCTATGAGATTTGAAGCAGCTAGGTATTTATACAATGTGCTTCTTTGGAAGGCTTTTTCCCTTTTCCATGCTTAAAAGAAAAATATAGGTCAGGCATGGTCGAACTTGCTTGTAATCCCTGCACTGGGGAGGCTAAGGCGGAAGGATTGTTGCAAGTTCGAGACCAGCCTGGGCTACAAAGTGAGTCCAAGGCTAGCTTGACCACATAGTGAGACCCTGTCTCAAAAAGCCAAAAGAAAAATTTACAACAAATTTTTAGTAACGTGATTAGAACAAACATCCCAAAACTTCTGGGTGGTATGAAGAATCTTTTGTGTTCTGCAATAAGCAGTTAAGTCTTATGAAGGAAGGTATTCCTAAGAGATGCTGCCAGGCTATTTAAATTCTACCACCATTAGAAACAGAATTCTAAAAGGGACAAAACTAAAACGCCCAGGAGAGCCAGGGATGGTATCGCATGCTTGTAATCCCAGCACTCAGGAAGCCGAGGCACAGGCATCACAGTGACTTGGAGTTCAGCCAGGGCCACATGGTGCACTCACGGCCATGCTGAACACACTGGGAGACCTTGTCTCAAGAAACAATGAAAAACAACGAAAAAGAACAAAAGAAAGAACCTCCCAGGACAGTAACTCAATGAAGAACTTACAATTTATTCTCTTTTCCAGTTTGTTTTTAGATGATGGCGACAGTCTAATAAGCAGCCTAGTAATTTTAATCTCATCCTCTGACATTTCCACCAAGGTGACACAAAACAAGTGGCATTTTCTTTTTGATTAAGGTATCCTACTAATAAATGAACAATAAACTTTAAAATGTGATGAAAGAAAAAATGGAATCTTAGGGTCTAAATAACCCTGAAAATTAATCCACTGTGTTTAACTGAGGAAAAAAAAAAGCCCAGAAAGCCAAAGTTACCTCTCGAAGTGCTTCAGCGTAAGAACTCATGTCTGTCAGGATCACCAGCACATGCTTCTCACACTGGTATGCCAGGAACTCAGCTGTGGTCAGAGCCAGGCGAGGGGTGATAATTCTCTCAATACTGAAAGGAGATGAAGTCTTAGGTCATTCAAGCCAAAAGTAAAAATCAGTTCTGGAAATAATAGTAGATTTCTTTTTAATATTTTTAATACACTGAGAGTAGAGCAACCATTAATCCAAAAATTCTCAAATAAGGCAGTTGGTTCCAAGTATTTATGTAAGAACTACTTACTGCTATAAAGTTTATTATTTTATAAATACCCTGTGATTTCTCAGAGGTACACAATTTTTCAAAACTGAGAGATGGTGGTAAGGAAAAAAGGGAATAAAGAAATGAAAGCCAGACTGCTCAGATAAGGAGAAAGTCATTCACTGAATATTAGTTATATGGAAATATATAATCATACACAATATATATGTGTTCATGAGATCTCATTTACTGGTCAAAGTAACTTGTGAGACAAGTATTATTTAATACATTTTATGAGCTTCAGTGTCTAATCTGCCCAAGGCCAAACAATTCTCAAGAAACAGGGCTGAAATTTAAATATAAATATAGGCTTACATCGTGCTTAAGCCCACAGGCTTTCATTATCATATTACACATTGGTTTCTCCCTAGTCTCAGGTAAAGCTTCTGACCCTTGGCCTTAATGAACAGAAAGAAACAGTTCTCTTTACTTACGTTGGGTCATTAGCCAAGTTCAAAAAGAGGCAGACATTGTCCATTGAGCCATTTTCCTCAAAGTCAGATTTGAAGAACCGGGCAGTTTCCATGTTCACCTAAATAGCAATGACTTCATCAGTGCGGGGGACAAAGGTGAAACTGAGTCTAAATTATTCCTTTTTTAAAAAAATTTCTAGTACTCCAAAACTTTTCCCAAAAGCCAGACTAAGAGTAAAGAGCTTGCTTTGACACAATGAGTATTATCAAGCGGGAAGAAAATGCTAACTGTTAATCCTTAGTTGGCAAAGCTGCATTTTTCCTTTAGATCTTAGAGATGAAGTCAATTAGTAATGTATGTGTAGCTTACTATGCTGCAGTAATAAAACAAGCCCTTAAGTTTACGTGTCATACTAAATCAGAAGAACTCTATACTTACACCCATAGCAGCAAATACAATTGCAAAATTCTCCTCACTGTAATCCACTACATCTTTGCATTTCTTTACCAAACCAGCCTGGCGACAGATTTGAGCTGCAATCTGAAGAGGAGTAAAAGAACTGAGTCAATATCTGAAATAACATTTCTAGAACAAATTAACTTTTATCTTAAACCTTTAAAACTGTAATATTTAATGAAACAAGATGTACCAGAGGACATAATAAAGAAAACTACATATGTTGTATTTTTGCTAAGATACAGAAATGTAAGCAAGAACACAGATAGGGATAAAGACTCAATGTAACTGGATCACACAAAGAATATTTATTTCCTTTCCAGTTAACAATGATGCATTTAGAGTTCATACCAAACAGACTTCAGTTCTCACCTCATTGTGTGGTAACCCTGCAGCAGAGAAGATTGGAATTTTCTGCCCCCGAGCAATGCTGTTCATGCCATCGATGGCAGAAATGCCCGTCTGAATCATTTCCTCTGGGTAGATGCGACACTGAGGATTGATAGGCTGGCCTAATGCATTTCCAAAAGGGAAATCCTTACTATGTCTGCACATTATTCATGAAGTAGGCATCAAACCAAGTTAAAAGAAAAAGCATTTGAAGATTCAAACTATATAAAGAATTTCTCTTTACCCTTAAAAAACAAACATCAGTTATATTTTTAAATTTGAAACTTGAAAAATTTCCTCCTTGACCCTTTACACTCACAAAACACAATATAACAGAACTTAAGTCCCTAAGATGAAATAAAAATTACAGCAAATAAAAGACAAATCCTAATTTCAGAGCCACAGTTTAACTTTAAACATTCTAATCTACCCTAGTAGTACTTTATAGTATCTTAAGATATTACCCAAAATTTTAAGATAACTTCTATGCAAAAATTGAGTAACAAAATAACTGCATAATTTATAACCTACAGAGAACACTGGTTATATACTTAAGAATAACGCACTAAAAACCATTCTAGTAAATGTACAAGTGAGGCCACTTCCTTCTAGGCGCAGAAATCTAATTCAGTGCTCCTACCCATGATGTCAAGGAAGTCTTCAGCCAGCACAGCAGGGCCTCGGTCAATGGGCTTTCCTGATCCATTAAATACTCGACCTGTGAAACAGTGACAAGGTGAACACAACAGACCCTAAAGTCCATGGAAACACATTTCAAGGGCAAAGGATCTCAGCTTGGAATTAATAACAACGCTCACTTACCGAGCATATCTTCAGACACTGGCGTTCGGAGAATATCTCCAGTAAACTCACAGGACGTTTTCTTGGCATCGATGCCAGAAGTCCCCTCAAATACCTATCAAAAGAGAAAATTAACCAGAAGTCTAAAAGCAATTAACAAGATAAGCATTTGCTTAAAACTTTTACTGTCTGGCCCTTCATGTGATGTAAGAAAACCTCTCTTCCCATAATCAGTGTAGGAACTATGAGGGACAAGTTAAAGGGACCGCTGGCTCCACTACAGTTTTGGTTCCATTCCATAATCAGTGAATTCTCTCTCCTCTTGTGATGTGCTTTCATTTTATTTATTTAAAACAGTATTTCCCCCCTACAGCCACTAATCAACTGCTACAGTAATGCCTAGAAAAAAACAAAAAGTAGTGCTTTTATGTGTTTTCAATTAGGCACAGTTCAACAGGCCCGGTGTGGAAAGCTGACGCTTACCTGAACCACTGCTTTGGAACCACTGACTTCCAGAACCTGCCCACTTCTCTTTGTGCCATCTGGTAATGTCAAGTGGACAATCTCAGAATATCTGGGAAACTAATCAGGAAGAAAACAAAGGATCAGTAACCAAGAGTTGAAAAGCTCCCCAAGTTGCTCTGTGTGCAGCTCTACCACAGCACGTTACATGTGTGACCCTCCTATGCAGGTTTATGCCAGGAGAAATCCCGGTCATACGCACTAATAATACACAGACTATGAATGTAGCACAAAGTACTTCATAGCTTAGAAAGACATGCATGATAATTCCATTTATTGTTTTTCCTCTGTGTGCATGCCCTGAAATCCTGACACTACAGAATAGTATGAAAATTCCAGATATCCCTGTTTCTACCACTGAGAACTAATGTTTAATTTCTGGCCTCTGCATGTAGCCACCTGTGTACTAGATAATAGGAAGGTAAAAAGTTATAATAATTACTACTTTAATAAATTAAATGTTTCCCTAAATTTAGTTCTTTTTAACTAGACATTTATTCCCCAATCAGCCAATTTTTTAATATTTGAAAATACATGTCTCTAAAAATATATGTTCATTTACTGTACTAAAGATTAAATAATGTCATTTTGCAACTTGCTTCTCTTACCTGACTTTAGCATAATAGAATATCAACATTCACCATAACTGATCACCATTCTGAATTACACTGCAAAGGCACTGTATTAATCTCTCTGTTAATACAATTACCTTTCCTGTTCATCTTTGCTAATCTTGTATTTTCTTACTCATCTGTACTTTTACTGACTCTGGATATTAATCCTTTTGCAAATATTGTCTCTTTGTTTTATGAGCTATTGTTCTGTATGATTTCTACATCTTAAGAAAAATCTTCCACCAGAAATCATAAAGTCTTCAATGTTGTTATGGTTTGTGTTTGGATATCCCCCTAAATCCTCATGCAGTCATACAGGCAGGTTTCTAGAATTTGTGACTCCTGGTCTAGTGCTGAGATGATGGGTGTGAGTGCTACAACCACTCTAAAGTAGGTGGCTGCTTACAGTGTAAGGGACAGAGTCTTCTCTGTGCACGCCTCCCTTCTGCTCTTGTTGCTTCTGGTATCTGCCACCACCATGAACTGCTGCTCCTCTGTCACATCTCCCTGCCTTGGAGCCAGCTGATAATATGGTGTCAGGTATTTTGTCCCAGCAACCAAAGAAAAATAACCAAGCATAAGTCTTTTAATAGACTTATGCTTTATTTTGAGCCTTAATACATGTACATTTATCTTTGGCACCTAATTTTATTTTTCTCATTTTTGTTTTTCATATGGGAAATGGATTTCTCCAACAATATTCTGACAAGCACAAGTGATTTTTGTTTTTGTTTTTTAGTGCAGATAGGCCTTAAACTCTCTAAATAGCCTAAGCTGCCCTCAAAGTGACAAGGATCCTCCTACTTCAGCCTCCCAAGTGCTGGGATTACAGGTATGTGTTACCATGCCCAGCAGCATAAGTATTTTCTACAGTCTCACAATGTTGAATTAACCAAGTGAAAAATCCTTAGATGAAGAGTATTCATTTTAGGGATCTTAATTTTGCTCACCGATGTGTTTATTTCTTCACTGAATCTCCATGATTTATTATCTCCTATTGTGCAACTTGAGGAGAATCAATACCTTGACTATTTTGAATCCATTCATTCACTCAAAATAAATGTGATCATTCAAAGTAAGTGGACTCTCCACTAATTCTGGGTGTTTTTTATGATCTTTTAATAAAGTTTGACCTTTTCTATACTCACTTCAGGCACAGAGACTACTACTGACTATGCAGACTGCTTCTGCACCTAGCAACTCTCTTCCTCACCGTTTCTGTTTGCCAAACCCAAGCCATTCAATGGCAAACTTAATCACATCAACAATGAATGACACTTGTTCCATTCCTAATCCCCTTCTATTCTAGTTTTTTCCCTGCAGCACCAATAAATGTCAAGAACAAAGATAACAGTGATAGTGACAACAGGTATTCTCATTTTGTTCCTGAATATGACATTATGATATATATGAAAGGTGAATCTGTCCTTAGTCCACAGTTCCTGTGATTGTCTAAGTGACAGGAATCACAAAGGTAAAAGGAGCATCTTTTATAATTCATAACGAATCCTTTTTAACTGCACCTGGGTACCTCAATGACATTTGGAAAGCCCTGAAGGATACTGGGAGAATGAAGGCACTGTTTGCCAGGGGAATAAGCTCCTGATTAGAGGGGTTGGAACTGCCACCTGATCCTCTGTCCTGAGGAGAGGAGAGAACAACCGTGTGACTTAGTCACCAACTGGCCAGGATTTGACCGATAATATCTATGTAATGAAGTCTCGATAAAAATCCTAATTAAAGGGCTTCAGAGAGCTTTGGAGGTGGTAACAAGAATGTGTCCATGTACTGAGAGGCTGGCGCATCTCAGTTCCAGGGGTACAGAAGCTCCTGTGCAGAGGGCCCTTCAGGACTCACCCTACATAAACCTTCATCTGGATGTCTATTTGTACCCTTTAGATCCTCTTTGCAAAAATCAAGAAATAAACTGTTTCCTTGGGTTTGGTAAGCTACTCTAGGAAACTGCAAAATGAGAAGAAAACCCTCAAAAGCCATGTCAGATAGTAGCTGTGGGTAATGTACAGACCAGTGACCTGAAGTGACAGGCAATGATAGGGACAAACCCTTAACCTGAGGGATCTGTAGTTAATGAGAACTGAGTTAAACCAAGGGGCATCCAGTAGAGTGTATGCTGAAAAACTGAACTATTGTTCAGAAAAAATCCACACACTGGGTATCACAAGTGAAATGCTGAGAAAGCAGGATAGAGGAAATAAGATTTTTTAATGGATTTAAATGAGAATGTTTCTGCAGTTTCCCTCCTATGCTATCTGTTGTAGGTGGTGGTGGTTTTACTTTTCTTGCTGTTGTTGTGTGTAAGTGTTTTCTGAGACAGTAAGACAGTATCTCATATGTAGTTCAGACTGGCCTTGAAATCACTATGTAGCCCAAGTTGGCCTTAATGTCATGGAGGTCCTCCTGCTTCAGCCTCCTGAGTGCTAAGATTACAGGCATGCACTATACCTCTCAATTTTATTCACCAGCCTTTTCCCACTAGAGCTATACCACAAAGTGTGTTTAATAAAACTGTTTTACTCTCTTAAAATTACTTCTTTAAGCCAGTTATGGTGCTATAAGCCTATAATCTCAGCTACTTGGGAGGCTGAGGCAGGATTACCAAATTCAAGGCCAGCCTAGGCAACTTAGTGTGTTTCTACCTCAAGAAATAAAAAGGGCTGCAGTATTTGCAGCTCAGTGGTAAGAGTGCTTGCCTAGCATACTTGAAGCCCTGGATTCAATCTCATGCAATGTACTCCTTCCCCTATTAAAAAGCCCAGATGTTTCCCAAGTCTCTCCAGCTCCTGCCTCTCGCAGCATCCTACTTACCTCTATAGCACTGCTACACCCTTCTGTAATTATACCTCATCTCCTCTATGACTCTACGTGCTTCAGTGAGGAAGGCCCACTGTGTTCACCTCTGTTTTCTGGGCTGAGCTCTGAGCTTAACAAATCTGAAACCTAAGCATCTGGTGAGCTGTTTCTCAGTAAGACTTACTATTATTAAAAATTCCGTATTTAAAAAACATGAGCTAAGCCGCTGTGTGTGTAATCCCGACAACTTGGGAGACTGAAGCTGAAGGATGGTGAACTCAAGCCTAGCAAGGGCAACTTAGTGAGACCCGTATCCAAAAGAAAGCCAAAATTATTTAGCAAAGAATACGGGGAGCGGGGGGCAGGGACAAAAAATGAAGGACGAAGAGACACTTTAAGCTTCCTACTATTTTCCTTAAAAAAAAAAAAAAAAGCGTAGGTTCCAACTGTGCACAACCTGAATGTGACACACTAGGCTCTGATGGATCTGCAGGCAGTATGAAACCATGGGCAGGAGGCAAACTTGCTGGGCACTTTGCCCTTTCAACTTGATTTTGGGCAGTGGGGCGGGGCAGGGTGGTCACATGCCAAATATACCTAGCACCGTTAGCCTCTGCCAACAAACTAGTCACTGTGTGCTTCCCTCTGATGCAGCACAGTAACAGCCAATGTAAAGCCACTATTCAAGACAGCACATCACATGAATGATACTCTCTGAGGATACTCTGCCAGTACCGCTCAGGCAGGAAGCTTGGCCAGGGAGTCTATAAATTACATTCCATGCTTCGCTTTCTAAGATAACAGCAATTGTTTGTAATTAATTTTTTTGGTAATTTTTTACATATAAAAGTTAAAAAATGTGTCACGATTGGTGTAGGCAAAGACTTTATGAACAAAATCCTGATTGCACAGGAACTATCACAAAGAATCAACAACTGGGATCTCATCTTATTGAAAAACTTTTACACAGCAAGAGAAACCACCAACAGAGTGAAAAGGCAACCAACAATGTGGAAGAAAATGTTTGCCAGCTGTTACTCAAACAAAGGATTACTATAGAGAACATATGAAAAACTCAAAAACAAAAATTCCATCTTCCCAGATATAAAGACCCCAAAATGGGCAGCTGAGATGAATACACATTTCTCAGATGAATAAATACAAACAGCAAATAAATGTATGAAAAAATGCTCAACATCACTGGTCATTCAACAGATACAAATTAAAATAATACTGAGATTCCATCTCACCCAGAAAGAATGGTTACTATCAAGAAAACAACCAATAACAAATGCTAGAGTGATTTTGGTGGGGGTGTAGACTGGCACAATCACTGTGGAAATCTGTGTGGAGATTCCTCAAAAAACTAGAATTGGAGGTCCCATCTGACCTAGCTAGTTCCCTTCTGGGTATCTTCCCACAAGAATTAAAAATATGATATCACAGTGATGTATGTGCACTCATGTTTATAACAGTACATTTTGTAACAGCTAGATCTTGAAAAATAGCCTAAATGCCCACCAAATGATGAATAGATAATGAAGATATGGCATTTTTATACAATGGAGTACTACTCAACCATAAAAGATAAACCTGAGACTTTATAGGTAAATGGATGCAATTTGAGAGACAATACTCATAAGTGAAATAAATCAGACATGCCCATGTAAATATCAGATTGTCTTTATAGGTAAATGGATGCAACTTGAGAGACAATACTCATAAGTGAAATAAATCAGGCATGCCCATATAAATATCAGATTGTCGTACTAATGTGAGAAGCTGAAACAATTGTATATATATATGTGTGTGTGTGTATACATATATAAATCTACACACACATATGACAGTTAAGACAGTTATACTACTGATTTCTCAGAGTTCACTGAAGAGAAAGGTTTGCACAAGTATTGTTCAGCCAATTAAATGCAGGTATCTTGTACTGAGTAACTGATTTGAAGATAATGATACGCAACATATATACCACTATTACCCCCTAATTATTGTTTTGAAAAAAATTTTTTTTTCTTTTTAAAATAATAGTTTAAAAAAATGTGTCACGACCTTATAACAAATTGAGTACATATACTCTATGCCCTGGGGTTTTAGTCATTACTGAGACAACTGGTTCTTGTATATTCATTGCTTGAATATCAATACCAGGTTCTCTAAGAAAAGTAACAATGTTTACTTAACAGATTAAACTTTAGTAGAAAAGATAATACAAATATTATTAAAAATAACACATGGCAGTCTAGGACAAGAGATATAAAATACCATTTATCTATGTAGCATATTGAAGGTTATAAAATACACATGTAGCGATTACTCATGTTTTCCTGGTAAAGCTGTTAAGCAAGATTTTTTTTCCTCTCTGATTTTGCAGACAGAGCTCCAAGCCACAGCAGAATCTATACTAGATCAGGTACTAGAATCCTGTCTTTTGACTTTTGATCACAAACTTTTGTCTCCTATATAGATAGCACTGACGTTCAAGCCACACAACCTTTTAAACAAAAGTTTAAAGACTGTTACAAAAAGTTTATAGTATAGTGGAGAGGCCTTAATACCAGGTTTTTAACTAATAAATAGACTGTGACAGGGTGGGATTACCTTCACATGATCCAAGATCACGAGTGGACCATTGACTCCAGACACTGTCTTATATGCTGAAAAAAACCACACACACACAGAAAAGTCACATTTAGTCAAATAGTCCAAGAGCTTATGTTATTTCTAAAAAGCCTCTATTACACCTTTGAAAATAAGGAACACTGATAGCTACGCACATTTTCAATGAATTTGTAAAACACGCCTTTACAATTTTTCATTTTGAATCTTACTGTAAGGGGCTAGGGATTTAGCTCAGCGGCATAAGTGCCTGCCTTGCAAGCAGGCAGTCGTAAGTTCAATCCCTGGTATTGAGAAAAAAAGAAAAAGACAAAAAAAAAAAGGAATCTTACTGTAAGTAAGCCACTGTTCATCAGAAAATAAAACAAGGCACAGAGGCTGCCCTTCACAAGTTCTGCTCTCATGGAGAGGGAGATGAGGTACACAGAGGATTCTATGAGCACAGCAAACAGGATACAGAGCAAGGAAAATCTTTATAGAAGAGATGGCATTCAGCTAAGAAGATGAGGAGGGGAAAGGGATCTTAATGGCTTTTTAGCACAGTGACAAAAATTACAATGAAAATACGAGAAAAGGTAGGTTACAAGGTAAAAACATGATTAAATAAGTCATAAAAACTTGTGAAGGATTGTAGGAAATGGAAGAAAAAAGCCAGGGGTCAATTAAGATATGAAAAATGTTCTTTAAAAAGAAAAAAACAGGTGGGTGGGTTGTTAAAGAGACTGCTGTTAACCACTGTATGGTATGCCACAGACATATCCTGCTTGTTTATTTTATAAGGTATGACCCAAATCCCCCATATTAGAAAGAGGTACTCATTCTTCCCGGCAAGAGCAACAGTGATTAGGCATTAAGAAACACAGAACTAGTAAGAAAGAGCAATTCTAACAGACAAATTCAGAACTCACAAAATTCCATAACCAGAACACCTTAAAAAATAATATTTGAAGAAAATGTACTACAAAGCCTGAAATAATTTCTATGAAGCTGTTCACCAATGAAGAATTTAGGAATTTTTCACTTGCTTGATTTTTGAAGTCTTCTATTGAGCTTGGACAGTTTGCTGGCACAAACACACAGACTGCTAAGAATGAGGAAACCATTTAATCACCAGACTGTCTGCCCAAAGGGCTGTGGAATTTAAAAGTGCGATTCCCATGGCCTGAGGAGGGAGTAAGGGCCCTGGTGCAAATGCCAGGCCACAGCAGGCAAGGAGTCCCATCCTTCACACCGATGGCACGTTTACATCCAGACACCTACATGTGCTGCATGCATCAGTCACCCTGACGGACTCAATAGAGGCCCCCAAGACAGTTTATAAACTTTGGATAAAAGGAGACCACAAGGTGAAAAAACAAGCTACCTGAATGGATGAGAGTGTAAAAGGACCAATATTCTCCTTAGCAATACAGACTACATTTACTGCATGTTCTTCCACTTTTAAGAAACTGCTCCCCATTATTTTTGAAATAAGCTACTTTTTTTTTTTTTTGGTACCGAGGATCGAACTCACAACTGTGCTCCTTTAAAAAAACAAACAAACAAAAAACCCCCTATACTTCCAACATTTAAAATGTTTGTTCATGATTCTCATTTTATAAGACTCAGAACATTCTGTTGTTGTCACTGGTCTCCTCATCCTCCTCTTTCTTTGCTGGTTCAAGGGGTTGAGCTCAATGTCTTATTCCCAGGCTGGCTTCAAACATACAATCTTCCTGCCTCAGTCTCCTGCATAGCTGGATTGCAGGTGTGCACTACCATGCCTCACTGTGAAACATATTTTCTTGAAGTTCAGTTTTCACAAACACAGAAATGCAGGGTTTTTCAAACCTTGAGTTAATGTGTATGGTGTAGGGAAGGAAATCTATAGTTTTCAAATTTACAAGATGCCTTGCTCAGCACGATGGTGCAGGCCTGTAAACCCAGCATTCAGGAGGCTGAAGCAGGAGGACAGTTGCAAGTTTCAGACCAGCCTAGGCCACAAAGTGAGCTCAAAGTCAGCTGGAACTGCACTGGGAGACCCCACCACCCCACACAAAAAAGAAACTGTCTTGAATAAAATGCAGCATTATTAAAAGCCCCCAAAGTCTTCAAATTCTCTATTTTTGCAAAAAGACAGTATCTTCTTTTTCAAATTCTAATTTACAACTGTGCTTCAGAACTGCAGGTTTAAAATTCAAGCTAATTCCACACTACAAAGTTTTGCCAGTCACAAGCAAAAAGCATGACCAAGTAAAACATTAGTCATGGCTTTTCCTGGAAACAATGTGTAGAGCTGACCTCTATTACTTCTCAAAGATAAGATTCTACTTCACCAAGTCCTCTCAAAATCTGCAACAAGGAATACATACATAGTCTTTAAAGTCAGTAAGTGAATCTCACAAGTTCACTGATGGACATCAGTACCACCAAGACATATCTCATAAGTGCTTGTTAGAATTCTCATTTAATCTCCATAACATATGGTTATGATTTGTATCTGGAAGCCCCTAAAGCATCATGGCATCGTGGGGGGGGGGCGGCAGGGTTTTTGGAGGTGGCTGAATTCGAGTTTGTGATTGATTCACAGTTCAGTGCTGGAATTCAGGGTATGAGTGCTCCACCTGTCTTAGGGTGGGTAGTCTGGCATACACTATAAGGGAAGGAAAGAGGTTTGCTCTCCTGTCCTCTCTTGTTGCTTTTGGTATTCTCTGCCTCCATGAACAGCTGCCCCTCTGCCATGTGTCCATGCCTGAGACAGTTGATTTGTTCTGAAACCTCTAAAACTGTGAGCTAAATAAACTGCTCCTCCTTTAACCCTGGGTATCAGGTATTTTGTTCCAGCAAGGAGTGAAAAGTAACTAAGATACATACCAATGAATGAGCTATTATTTAACGTTTCCAAAGATTATTCTCAGAGAAATTTACTTGTCCGAGGATGTGAACCAGCAGTCTGGCTCCAGTCACTTGTTCTTTAATACTGCAGGCAAATTTGAATCTGAACTAGCAATGCCATAGTAGCGGATGTCCTTTTTTTTTAATTTTTATTTTTTTGGTGATATGGTACATTTTGGCACTTACTTGCAAGAATTATGTAGCAAAAAGACTCAAAATAATTTCGTGACTCTGTAATTTTAGCTATGAAAAATAGATTCAGTTTTTACATTTAATCAACCAGCCCATATTGCCCTTGTGTCCACATTTTTTGTGAATAGTGCAAAACAATCTTTCTCCTGGGGAGTCACAGCCACCGACAGTCTACAGAGAATGGAGTGTCTGATGAGAGACGCTGCAGCAGTTTTCTGTCACTGAAAATCATGAAAAGACCACTTGTGTACAAATCGGAAGAGAAACATCCTCAGCACAAATTAAACTGACATATAAATAAATTTCAGAACCCAAGCGAAGTAAAAATAGCACCAAGGTTTATATTTGTACCATGGTTTTAGAGCATTTTCAGAGTTCAGCTTCACAAAATTTGCAAGGTAAGCAAAGCTGATAGATGTTAGCTCCAGCATAATTTAAAATGATGCGGATGATACAGTTCCAGCACTTAGGCTACAAATACATAGTAAGAGACATTTCAAATACAAATCACAGCTCTTTCCATGGTAATGAAACTTTGTGCAAAGAACTGTGAGCAGGAAAGAATGGTACCAAACGATACTTTTTATTCTTCCACAGTATTCATCCAGCCCCACTCACCTGCAGTCCAATCAGAGGTAACAGTTTGAAGTTTCACTATGGAAGGCAGTTGCTCTTAAAATGCCGAAACCCAATCCCAAACTACTTATCAAAATCATTCTTCACTTGAAAGCATCACAAGCACACAGGCAGGCATGGTGAGGATACTAGAAGGCTGATGACATAGTAAATACAAACCTACAATACATACTCTACACATTTTACAACCAAAGGTCCCATCTTCAGCTCTGAACTACAGCAGGCAATCGATGCTTACGGAGTAACATTTTTAAAACCCCCAAAACCCACAAAGGTTTTACGGAGCACATATTTTTTCACATCACACCCTCTGCCTTCTGCAGGAGAAGAGATTGTTCAATGCTATTAACCACCCTCAGTGCTTGTGACACACTCAGAGAAAAAATTCGACAGCCATTGCACAATAAGAGCCCCAGTCTGGAAGCTCCGCCTTATGAACAAACAAAAACTCAGAGCAGTCATCTTCTGCTGCACAAGAAGAGCAAAGACCTAAGCCCGAGCGGGGGCCAACAGAAGATGCCTCACTGACTTTTCTTAGGACTTCTGCTTCACGGTGTCAGACCCTGAAGACTAGCTGACCTGTAACAGGGATGGCAAGCCTTTTAGAGTTTTCAGTGATACAAACAGCTGCTTCTGGCACATGTGCCACAGGTTCATCACCACTGATCAGAGGTCTCGAGAATAGCAAAGATCACTGAATTTGAAACATCAATTTAGCACTCCAAAGTTCTGTTATTTCCCAACCGTGGTCAAGGTTTAAAAAGAAAGCAAGTTTTTTTTTTCCCCCCTGTGATTTTAGACATTCAACTAGTGTTCAAGATTACTAACTTCAAGCTGGGCACTTTACTTTCCATTTCAACAGCTGTGTAATCATGAAGCTGCTTTTAAACAGCATCTAATTTGTACAGAGGAGTTGCCAATATTACTTCACTCAAAGCCACACATTAAATAACTGTAATTACTTAAATTTACATGGTATTATCAATCTTTAATTATAAAAATTAAGATGTTACTTAAAAGTACTTTACTTAAAAGTATTTATTTTTTTGGGGTTTTTGAGACAGGGTCTCTCTATGTAGTTCAGGCTGGCCTTGAACTCAGATTATCCTGTCTCAGCTTCCTGAGTGCAGGGATTACAACAGGGATGTGCCACCATGCCCAGCTCAGAAGCATTTAAAACTGTGAAACACAAAGCCAGGTGTGGCGGCACATGCCTGAAATCAGCAGTCAGGAGGCTGAGGCAGGAGGATCCTTGTGAGTTTGAGACCAGCCAGGGCTACAGAGTAAGCTCAAGGCCAGCCTGAACTGCACAGCAAGACCCTGTCTCAGAACAAAACAAAACAAACAAAAAAATATTGTTCAACAGAATCAAAAAAGTAACAAAATAGGAAAAAGATGATATTTAAATGTGGTTAGTTGTTAACCTATGTATCACATTTCTTAAGCACTTTAGACTAATGCATAATTCAATCAGGTATCCTAACTTCCTATTGATTCCATCTACATTAAAAATATATCCACTTATGGTGTGGTGGCACATGTCTGTAATCCCAGCACTGGTATGGTGACACAGGAAGACTGCCATGAATTCAAGACCAGCCTAGGCTACACAGTGAGTTGAAGGCAGCTCTGACTACATAGGACCCCATTAAAAAAAAAAAATCTACCCACTCAACTCTTAGTACAAGGGGTTTTAATGCAAGCTATATTTTTTAAAGTTATAAGACATCTTCTACGTCAGGCACCAACTGGGGTGCCTGGGCGCAAGGTGCTAGGGATACAAAAAGAGGATCCCTGATCTCTACATTTCCACTTTTAAGCATTATGTTTTATCAGCAGGAATTGCATCTTGAGAGGTTCTTCAGCCACCTGACTAAGTACACATAGAATGTGGAGAAATCACAGTCATCTTCCTAAATGACTTACAGACTTAGGTACTCTTTAACACAATGTTATTAGTCACCTGATATTCCCTGCTCTGGCACTGAGTGATTATACGAAAACTATTCTACTCTTAAAATCTTTTTTCTAGTGGCACCACTAATGTGTGCATCTCTTCCGTCCAAAGCAAAGCATAACATGCAAGTCAGAAAAGAGAATCTGTAATTCTTAGGAATAAATGTACTGCCAAGGGTTATATAACAGCGTGGTATCTATCAATCTGCTAAACATTTACTCCAGCTCATAATAATCCCCTCCTGACCAGGCATTCTCCAAGTCTACCAATTTCCGATGTAAAAGGTGCATCTCAGCAATCTCCACTGAGTGTGTTTTCTTCCTCACACTGCAGTGCTGTCACATGACCCAGTTGACAGATCAGGATGGGATTAGTCAGGCTCTAGACTGCCCCACTAAAACCTTTCATGTGAGATTCTTTTTAACCAACAAGCCACCCACAAACAGGCAGGCTGGCAATTAACCAGTGCAAGCGCTGTCTCACTACCTGGGAAAACAGGAGGCACTTTGCAAGTTTTAAAGAAACATTTATTCCAGAGCTCATCTCCAGTCCTTAAGGAAGCTGTGAAAAGATTTGATGCCACCCAACTGTAATCTTTAGTAAGCAAGAACCATTTCTTTTGGAACTGAACTGTCTATTTAAACAGGCAGCTTATTATGTCCTTTCATACTCTAAACACCTAAACAAGCCTATGTAGGTATGAGATGGGCAAAGCTGCTTGCCTTTCCCAAAGAACCTTGCTCGCAACCCAGACCGGTTAACTGGTCAGTAAATGAAGCAATGGTGGAAAAAAAATGCCTGAGGAGAATTAAGAAATCAGGATTTTTAGTTCCTGTTCTGCCAATAACTAGATATCTGAAGCCTGTGAGTCCTAGCCTTCCCAGAGCCTTCCGGGCTTCTCACTTGTAAAATGAGAGGGTTGGACTGGATGACTTGCAGGGTACTTTTCAGCTCTAAGGTTCTCTGATAACTATGTGTCATGTGAAGCAGCCCCCCGCCTAACGAGCCCCATCTCCCTCCAGCAGCGGCCTGACCTCCATCCACGAGAGGTCTGCCCGCGTCAGCGAGGTCACCGAAGGTCCGCGCTGGGCAGGGGCTCTCCACCCCCACTCCCGGGGCCTCAGCAGCCAGAGGGGATAGGAATAGCGAACAGCGTTAGCCGGACTCCAAGGCATTCGAACAAGGTCAGAAGATTAAGGTCCGAGTGACAGGAAGTGACCCTGTACGACAGGCAAGTGCCTGAGATTGCTCCAGCCCAGGGAAGTTGGAGAAGATGGGGCCACAACCAGGAGCCCACCGACCGCAGGAAAGTTCCCCGTCGGAGCTCTTGTCCTCCGCCCATCTGTGTCACGGAAATGCAACATGCACATTCCTGAGACAGTTCTGGGTGCGGGGTGGGGGAGGTGGGAACACAGTAGGGAAAAATAAACCCCACTGCTTACTCGCTGGCTAAACAGGTGAGTGGGACCAAAGGTTAGACTAAGAGGCAAAGACGGGGTACGTCTTGCTTCTTGATACTCACTGAGCCGAGGCTGGGAGAGGTAGTTCCTGCTGACTGCCAGTGCCTGCTCCCGAGCTCCCGCCACTGGCCCACTGGTGGGCACCGGCAGCTCGGGTGCGGCCCCGTTCACCATCCCCCGCATCGCCCGCAGCGCCATCTTGTCTCCTCCGTCCCGACTGGCCCCGCAGGAGCGCCGCGCAGGCGCAGATATACCAAGGCGGCCCGCGCACCTGGCTCCGCCCATGCGCGTAGCGGATCCTCAGCCTGGCCACGCCCCCTTCGCGACTCACCGCCCCCCGCCTCGTGATTTGGGCTCCACGGTGGCGGAGTTTAGCGCGCAGGCGAGAGGAGCTGACCAGCGTGCTGGGAGGGCGGGCGCGGGGCCGGGAGTAGGGAAAAGGGAAGTGAAAGAGGGTCGCAGGCCACGGCGGGATTGAGAAGATAAGTAAGCGAGGAAAGAGGCGCTTTCTACGAAAGGGACGGAAGAGGTACGCAGACACGTAGAAAAGGTTAGCTGATGTCCATGGTAGAGCAGTCTTTCATTGGATTGAATGGAGAAGACTCAACTATGGAAACCACCTTGAAAATCAGAGGAAATGTAAAACCATCACCTGACTTTACAGCCTTCATATCACTTCAGTTTATACACTCATGTATCCATTCTGCAAACCTGCTGGCTTGTTTTAAGGTGTGGGTAGCCAGGTGAAAAACAGGAATGGATTTGAAAGCTACCTAAAGGAGCAGATGGCTAACACAAGGTGCGGAGCTGACTGTGGGAAATGACAACCCAGGCTGGGTGGAGCCGCTGGACTGATTGGGATGGTCTTGATGGAAGAGAAAGGAAGACAAAACTTTGCTGGTGTTGAGGGGAAGAGAAGAAAAATTATTCTGTTCTCTGGATCTGTTAAATTTCCAAGAAGGTGTCTGGGCTGAACTGAGATAAGATTTGCCACTTATCAACAAGTTAATGTGGAAATAAAAGAGACAAACCAAAGCCTACGGTCGTCCCAGCCCTGCACTGGAATTTGAACCCAAGGCCTGAGCCCAAGTCCTTTGCATTGAGCTACATCCCCTACTGTTTTTAACTTTTATTTTAAGGGAAGGTCCTGTTAAATTGCCCATACTAAGGTTTAAACTTGTGAGCCTCCTGCCTCAGGCTTCCCAGCGCTGGGACTACAATTTTTATTTACCTAGTGTCCAAAATTGGCATGAATATAAGGAAGCAAGAATGCTCATTTTTCATACTTTATAGGTAAGAATGAATTAGTATGGTATTGAAAAGAGCAGTTTGTTAGTTACGTATACTCAGAGAGGCGTTAGCAGTGTTACTCAGGGACAGGAGATAGCAGTGTTACGGTTAACGGGAGGCTACCTGGAACCTGAAAGACTTAGTTTAAATACTGATTTTGTTCGTTGTATGACCTTGAATGAAGATTTATCCTCTGTAGATCTCATTTATAAAAAGAGGATAGTAATCTCCACAAAATTATTGTAAGTATTAAAACAGGAACACAAAGTTTTAGCAGTAGTAAGGGCTAGATATTTCTGAGCTATCAATATCCTTGCATACCTTTTTGACTGACAAAACATTTATGCATTAATTATCACATGTAAGGTCTTTCCTAAGAGCAAAATGCCATATAGCTAATTTTTACTAAGCAGGTACTATAATTTAAAAGTTATTGTCTTTTATCTTAACTATCAAGAAGGTAAGTTGGGGGCCAGGTGTTTAGCCCAGCCGCATAAGTGCCTGCTTGGCAAACATGAGGTCGTGAATTCAATCTCCAGTATCAAAAAAAAAAAGAAGGTAATTTGGACATAACGAAGCTCTACCAGAGGAATGAAAATGTGGGGCTCCTGTCTTAAGAACAAACACTTGAGTCTGGGCATGATGGCTCACACCTGTAATCCCAACACTCCAGAAGCTGAGGCAGGAGGGTTGCTTCAAGTTCAAGGCTAGGCTGGTCTACAAAATGAGTTCAAGGTCAGACTGAACTGCATAGTGACACCCTGTCTCACAAAGACCAAAAAGAAAAACAAACAAACAAATAAGCAAACAAAAAACAACAAAAACCTCCTCCCCTGCAAAAAACAAAAAAAAACCCAAATGAATGAACACATGTCCATCAATTGATTGTTTTATAGGGAGAGGTTTATCTAAGGAATAGTCACCCTATTGAGACTGTACAATGGTTATTGCCCTCCTCTTATTTGTTGAAATCCTATCTATACTTTACTCCCAAAGACTGCAAGGGTAGCTGGCCCCAGTAGCAAAGAACATGGTCAGAACATAAGACTGTGACTCATCACCCTGGTTTTAATGTTGACTGCGTCTTAACATACAGTATGACCTTGAGGCAATCCCCAATTCCTGAGTTTCCATCTGTAAGGAGGGAAGATGTCATGTGACACATAGTTCTCAAGGATTTAAAAGAAGACTTGCAGAAAACACATTAGACAGAAATGCAAATTCTTATTTTTTTATTATAAATACTTATTGAGGAAGAAAAATAAGGAAAGGAAGGGCAGGAAAGCCCATGCTAGTGACCTAATTTTTCCATATAATGTGTGTCTGTTTTCCTTTACTGGAAAAGCCTGATCGAGGAAAATATTGTTAAGATAAACTACAGCAGATTAAATAAATAGGCCTATACATTTCCATGTAAGAAGCAGTAAACTAATATAAAATTATCATGTAAAAATTTCTGCATAAGGTGGGAGAAGCAGCTAATTTTAAATTTTCATTTGTTGTTACACTGGGTATTTTAAAATACTGACCCTCAGAGATACACGGTGAAATTCATAGGCTGGAAACAGCTTTTTTGCAGTTTCTATTTCATATGCCACATTTCTTTCATTGTCACTAGGGTCACAAATGGGTTGTGAAGAAGAGAGGGAACAGCAGAGGGCCCCCTATGATCAGGACTAGGGCTACTTAAGAAAAGATCAATGCAAATATTTAAACGTAAATGCAAGGAGAGGCCAATGGTTAGAAGTTTACTGACCAAGGACAGCTCTACTGTTGCCTTGTCATCTGGAGCAGAAAAGGTATCCTGGAAACGCTAAGTGCCTTTTATTAAATACTCTTTTGTTGCCAGATCAAATCAGATCTCTAAATCCCAAATTCTCTAATACTCAGTGAGACAAATGTTGACACACTATTTGTTGTTGTTGTTTGAGACAAAATCTTGCTATGTAGTCCAGGCTGGCTTTGAATTCACTAGGTAGCTCAGACTGGCCTCAAACTCACAGCAGTCTTCCTACTTTAGCCTTGAGGGATCTGGGGTTATAGGCGTGCATGACCACACCTGGTTGTTGATACATTTTTAATGCAGTATTATTCAGACACTAATCCAGTGTTGTGTTGTGTTTAGATATCCCCTCAAAACCTCATGTGGTCATAGGTGGGGATTTTTCATAGGTGGCTGGATCTGGAGTGTGTGATTCATGGTACAATGCTAGGATTAAGGTGCTGGGATTAAAGAGTGTGTGACTATTAAATCAGTCCACTGATGGGTTTGGCACCACCCTAATCTCAGTATCCTGGGTAGAATGTTGGGTACTTTATGTCAGCAAAGAGAAAAGCAGCTAAGACAGACACATAGGAAGTCTTTTAAGCATGGGAAAATTTTCCTGATGTAGTACTGAGTACAGTGTTTTATATGAATTGATATACACAATGATCTGCATTATTGATAGATGTATTCATGCATTCAGAAAATACTGGAGAGGTATGTGATATATTAACAGTGACTAACTCTTAAGTTATGAGATGTTTTGTTTTCTTTATATCTGTCATTTTTTTTACCTGAGCATCCACTATCCTTTTTAACCAGAGGTAGAGTTAGAAATATTAAGGTGTTTCTCTTTAAAGTGTTATAATTTTGATTTTCACTGGCAAAAGTTTCTATGACTAATGGTACGATAAGTGCATGCTCAGGAAGATGTAAAGTTTTGTGATATACAGACCTGAAAGGAATTAGGTCAAAGGGAACAGTAACAGATAACAGATGCAACACAGGTGAGAGCTCATTGTTTTAGGTCTAAGACTAGTTTATGATTGTTAGACCACAAATGGGCCTTGGGAATCAACTAGACTTGGCTCTCCAATATACACATGAGGGAACCAAAGTTCAGGAAAGTCAAGCAATCCTTTCTAAGTTTTGGAATGAGATAGCAATGTATTTCCCAGACTGCGGCCTCAGTAATCACCTCCTTCTATCTCTGTCTCCTCTGCAAAAATTTGAATACGTGCAGGATAATTATTGACTTGGCAGTCTGCTTCATTTCTTTCTAGGGGCACTTTGTAAGGCCAAATAAATTCTAAGAAGAACCTCTGAACTTCTGAAATGAGAACCCAAAACCCAGGCTCTAACTTGGCATCAGTCTGAAACCGTATCTGTGATGTTGAATATGAATGATGGACTAACTGGGCTAATATCTGGGATTTTCAGGAACAATTCTAGGGACATTTGTATCATCTCTGCTCTTTACCAGTTGTCATAGTAATGGGCTTGTGCTATCCCAAAGTGTGAATCTCATGGACAGAAAGATTTTGTTTTGTTTTGTTTTGGCTTTCTTGTGATCTCATTAGAGAAGCAAAAGCACCTGCTATTGGTAAGTACATATTGAGTGAGAATTGCATTGAATCCAACATAGAATGGGCACTGGAGAACCTGGTAAGAACTGTTTGTTCCTTCTTTGAGCCATGAATCCATTGCACTGAGCTGGGATAACAGCTGCAGGTTCACTCCTCTACAGCTCTGTCACCTCTTTAAAGCAAAGATGACATTCTTGTGCTGCCCATCATTTCTAAGGAGCTAAAGGATAAATTGTGGAGACAAGATTAACACACAGGATTCATAAGAGATAATGTGCAAAACAGCATGGAGTGAGATGCTGGAGAGTGTAACTGGAAAGGGAAAGATTAGCAAGGGCTGGTTTAGGTCAGGTGGCGCAGGGTAGAAAGAGAAGAAGATAGGCTCTTCATTTAGAATTTGCAAATGTGGACGAGAGGAACAACACTGAGTGTTGGATCATTGAACACAACTGTTTGCAGTCTCACTGTTTGAATGTCCACTTTGTATGCTTTAATTTTGTAACTTAACTACTTCTAAGATGACAATATGTAATCTATTAACTAGTGATTTCTTACTGCTTATTTTTTTAAATTCTGTATTACTTATACCCTTTTACTGTTTTTTTTTTCTTT